GCACAGTAGGACGCTCCTTTCCTGGAGTCTGTCTGGTATTTTGCTCCGGGTTAGATGGGCTCTACGGGTTTAGGGGGAGGATCAGAGATAAAGTGCCATTTTCTTCACTTGACATTAAAGGTAATACCAACGTGTTGGTTAGGGAACATTAAGAGCAAAATAATTAAGAACTCTACAGTTAGTCACTTACCTTATCATTGCTCCCCCAATCCTGAAAAGGGAGGAAGCCAGGAGGGCTGGGATGGGAGGGGAGTCTTGACGAATCACAAGGTCTCAAGTTTGGAGAAGTGTTCAGAACTTGTGGATTCATTCATTCAACAAATATTTATTGAGCACCTACTATATATGTGTGAGGCTCAATGCTAGATAGTGGGAATCACAGTGACTCTTCGACTCTAGGAATTGCCTTCAATAAACCAGGTTTAGTAGATTCCTGTCCAGCTTCTATTTAAACATCTTTACTAAGAGGTGTCACTTTGCAGTTCAGTTCATTTTGATTATTTGTTCTTCAACCAATAACCAGCAAATACCCTTAGTAAGACATATATGCAGTCCAGTCCACAAAACATTAATGGTGGCAAGACTTAAAAATACGTACAAAGCAATCTATTTGGCCATACACACATATATAAGAATAAAACAGTTGACCTTGAAGGACACATACCAAAAATTATCATGGGGTTAGTTTGAGGAATGGATTTTGTTTGTTGCTGTTTGGTTACGCGTGTTTTAAGTTTTGTTGTTTTTTTTTTCCTACACTGCTTTTGTAATAAGGGAGAAATATTAATTTAAAATCTAAAAAATACAGAAATAGGTGAGATTAATAATGTAGAGCAGGTAGAAAAGTGAAAGAACACAGAGGATGTCTCACCGGTAAGAACTCGACTCTCAGGCGCTCCAGAGGACAGGGAGAATGAGCTGGCTCAGTTATCTTTCCACTTGATACAGTTGTAGCAGCAGTGAGGATAATTGTTACAGAGCATCAAGGAGTCAAGAAAGACCAGAAGCTTTGAAGTTAAATGCACCTAACTCCATTGACACATATATCCCTAGTGCCTTTGTTACAACAAATGACCCAATGCCGATATATAACTATTAAGGGTCCTTTTGATTCAGACTTCCAAGGGAGCCCCAAGGGCCACAGGTGAAAGGAACTAAGATTTTTATTTAATCCAGGCAATAAACTGGTGTTTGAGAAAATGTACACCCTCCATCTCTACCCGACTCAGCTCAGGAATCTACAGTCAGTCATTTCTGTTTAAGGCTGTGATTGGATCTAAATTCTTGAAGACATTTATGATCTCCCATAATCTGGTCCCAGCTGCTCCTCCTAAACATTAACCCTTGCTGCACCCTCTTTCCCCCCAAAACACAAAATCTCATATTCCCAATTATGCAAACCTGTGTACTTTGGTAGAAGTTACTAAGCAGTAGGTTTCAGCAAAACATACAGAAACGTATTTAGTGAAACAACCAGGTGACATCTAAAGTGCGCAATCCATGAAAGGGCGATGGTTAGAACGTGGATTTGGATCCTATTTCCTAGCTCCATAAATTTCAGCAATTTAATATTTCTAAACCTGTTTGCTCACCTGTAAAATGAGATAACAATAAATAAAGTCACTGTAATTCATTCAACAACAACTTATGGGGTGTTTACTATGTGTCAGGTACTGTTCTACATACTTGGGGTACAGCAGTGAACAAAACCAAAAGCTTCTGTACCCACAGAATTTAAATGGAGTTTACAGTCTAGTGACATTACCAGTGTAGAGACGCTATTTCAAGTCCTGAGCCGGGGGTGTCCCTAAAGCAGATGTGGGCTGAGGGAAAAGGAGACCAGGGCTCAAGCCATTCTTGATATCGACTGGATTCCCTCCTGCAGGACCTACAATCGCACTGGAGTTCAAGATCCTGCTCTGATTAGGACTAGACCTTGGCAGGCACACACATAGGTGTCCACTGTCCCAAGCTGGGCCGGAGGCACTGGGGCCTCGGTGGCCACTGTCCCTAGTTGGTCTGGCCGGCTGGTAAAGCCCCAGCCCTGTCACCTGGCCCGTGAAGAACTTGAGCCTGGCCGCATCTCTGTCCACCAGAGGAGCTGTAGGAGGTCTGGGTCTTGGGCTGGGGACCTCTGGTTGCACCTTGAAGAAATGTACCCAACAGAGGTCTCTTGGGCCTGCAGACCAGGCAGCTTCCCAGTTTTCTCTAAGACTCTCTTAACAAAGCAAGCTAATGGCTCTGTTCTTAGGTGCATGACACTGGACATCTTTAGGCCTAGACACAACTGGGAACAGCTTAGTAGCCTTCACAGAGTTTCTGGTTGTTCCACATATCTCAACTCTGGACTCAGAGTCAACTTCTTCAAGTCATATTTAAAGGCAAAGAAATAATCCCAATATAAAGTGGAAGGACATGATAAAACATTGTACACATTGCATGGCCCTATTTACGGTTATTACATATACCTGCACACATGATGTGTATATACATGTACACGTGAAGAAAAAACTGAAAGGCTACATGTTGAACTCAAAATAATAGTAATAGTTGCCACTAAATTGTGGCCATGAAGTCGTGGGTACTTTAATGTACATATTTATGTTTCTGAATATTCTAGAATAAATGTATACTATTTCTGTAACCAGAGAACAGAAGAGATGACTTTGTGTTTTAGAATGCTACCAGTGGGCAGCTTTCTCTCTGTGGAAGTACAGAATACGTTGCTTTTTTAGAATACTTTCTGGCTATTGACTGCAGAATACAGAACCAAAACTGAAAGAACTGGCAAAGTGAAGTAAGGAATTCTCTTAGTAAAGTGGTTTAAATATGTTACTGACTCTGGTTTACCTGAGGAAGGATGCATGTCTGGAGAAGAGGGTTCACTGTGGCCCCAGGACCAGCATGTGTCTGGCTGACAGGAGGTGCACAGTTTGTATCTGCTGGACAGATACATAATTTCTAAGGGCTCTTCCGAGCCTGGACCTGGTGATTCATAAAACCTCCTCCCTCGCCCTTCCAGTCCTCCAGCATCCTCCCTTCTCCGGACCACGGCGGCAATTATATGATGAACTGCTAATTCAAGACATCTTAATTATAGACGGGGTGGTATTTTATTCATTGTTCCCTGACTACATTGGCTTATATTGTGCCTTCCCAATCAACTCCATTCAATTAACCTTTAGCAGACACTGTGTATTAAGTACTGGAATCTGCCCTACAAAACCTCACGTTCTCGTATGGGAACGGTCAGGACTGAGCAATAAGTGGCCCGAGGGAGGTGCAGCCAATGCTCTCGCCGGACTGGGAATCACTTCTGCAAGGAAGCGCCCCACCCCCCGACCCCCCGACCCTCCAGGTAGGACGGAGTATTTCTTTCCCCTGGCCCTGACAGGCTCTTAGATTCGGAAGATGTTGATGCCACAGCAGCAGTCAGAGGTGCACACGTGAGTCTTACTCTCGGCTTCCACCTCTCTGCCCCGTGCCACAAGCAAGCCCCGGGCTCGCTCCCGCTCCGTCCAGCGCCGGGCGCCTCCGGCACCCGCGGGCAGGAGGCGGAAGGGGCTGACCCAGCCGGCGGCCGGGAGCGCTGCTGCCGACCTCGCCGTTCGCCCCGGGGAGCCGGTTTGGGGAGTACGGGACGAGGTCGGGGCCGCCGATCGAGCCTTACCTGCTACCGGGGCCCCCACGCAGAGCCCGCGCCGCGGCCGGGGAACCCGCCGGCCTTCCCCAAGATGGTGGCGTCCAGGGTCCGCCTCCCGGGGCTCCCCATTGGTGCGTTCTCCGGCCAATCTAGGGACGTGGGAGACGGGTCCGCCCCCTCGAAGCCGGGTACCGGAGCCCCGGGAGGCCGCGAGTCCCCCGGAACCCAGGCTGGGGAGCCCGGCACCGAGGGCCGCGGGGCAGCAGAGCGAGCCCGGCTCTGTCGTGGCCCGGTCTCCCACGGAGGAGCCCGGGCTGGACAGGGCCGGCGAGGGGTCGCAGAAGGAGCCTAATGTCAGCGGGGGCTCTGCTGAGGGCGCCCACCAAGAAATGCGCCCGACCAGCCTGCTCTTTCCGGGTCGTCTCTGTGACTGGCACCCAGTCTGCGCCCTCCCACCGCCCCGGCATCTCCTTCGCCGTCCCCTGCTTCCCTCCAGCCACCCAGGATGCTCTTCTTTTCCTGTTTCACCCCTGAGGCTGCTACCGCGTGTGTGAAGAGATGGGCGGATTGGGAATCAGAAGCCGAGGTGGGAGGCAGGCCAGCGCCCAGCGTTTCGGGCCTCCCCGCTGCTTTCCAGCCCCGCCGGCCTGGGTGGAGGGAGGAGACGGGGAGGGGGCGGGGGAGGGGGGAGGAGGCTTTCACCGAAAACAGAAATACCCGGAAGAGTTGAGAAAAAATCCAGAAATCAGTTAAAAAGAATGTCCCAGAGGAGGGAAAGCGCTGGCGTGTAGCTGCAGTGCCCAGGCCTCGGCGCAGGCCGGAAAGAACAGGGAGGCCCTGGAGAAGCGCTTAACCTTACTCAACCCGACCAAGTCTCATGTCCTCATCCGCAACAGGGAGGATAACAATTCCTGTTTTTTTAGCGCCATTGGGGATAATGTATGGAAAATGTGTGGAATATATATGTATACAAAGAAGAGTAGTGTCATTGGCAGTAATGTCTATAAAGTACCTCGTAGAGTTGGTGTCCACTACATAAATGGTAGCTGGTAAAAATAGGGAGCTGCCCTGAAAATCTTTCTCGCCCTTCCCAGGGACGTGATTTTTTATATTTTGTGTCTGGTGGCCTCCAGGCTCTGAGTTATCTCAGAACCCCAGGTGAGTTTCCCAGGCCTTTGGGATTTTTTCCTCATCCCCCCACTTCCTCTGATGCCTTCCAGCTGGACACAAACTCATTCCTAAAATATGCACATGGAAGCTATGGTAACCATGGAGACGGGGCAGGTGGCAAGGATAAGCGGAGACAGACAGTGAGAGAGACCAATCGCCACAGACCGGGAGAGAGAAGCTGGCCATTCGGTCTCCTTCCAGCAAGATGGGAAAAAATGGGTCTGAGCAAAACTGAGGGTAAAGAGGTGCACCGAGAAGGGATGTGCAGTGTTTGCCATCATCCCTCTGCCCCCTTTCCTACTTCCCTATACCCCTCCCAAGAACGTGGGGAGGTGTCTGGGAGTGCCCCCTTGCTATATGTAAAAATGACCCCAGGTGTCCAGCCTTCTTATACTTATCTAAGAGGTCTGTGCAGGGAGCTGAGGTCCAGGCTGGCCGTGCTGCAGCGCCCAGGGAAGGCGGAGTGAGGATGTGCGCCGACATTTACACTGTAAGAAGGCAGCCGGATCTCTCGCCTCTCTGCCCAGTGCGGACTCGCTCTGTGGCCCCCACTCGTTTCTCTGCACTCCTCTGCAGCGTGCCATGTGCCCCGGGTGGCAGGTCAGGTCTGGCGCACAGGCGCGCGTGAGAACACCGAGCTCCAAGAACAGGCATCTGCCGGAGCTCTGCGGAGAGCTGGGATGGTCCCAGTCTGGGTCTCGGAGGCGGCTCCCCGGGAACACTTAGGTTTGTTGGGGCTCAGGGGAGATCCGCTAAGCAAGGGAAGTCAGGATTGGAGCCTCTAGGTTTTGAGGGTTTGTGTGCATGGGTGGGGTAACGGTTTGGTGCCTGACGCCCCCACCCGCAGAGACTGGGCTATAAATAGCAAGCAGAGCTCCGCCCCGCCCCCCCACCCCAACCTCCTAGCTCCTCTCCTCCCGAGCCGGCGCTGTGCCCGGGGCGCACCGGGAGGAGGGACCAGGATCCGGTGCCCGGGCGCAGATACTGACACCAAGGGAATCCTGGTGCGCACTCCCCCCCCCATCCGCCATGTGGGCCCCCGGAAACCCGACTCCGCCACCCGGACTGCTCGGTGGCCCCGGCCTCAGTCCTGGCCCGGCGGAGATTCTGCGAACATTCAGGTATCTCTTCGATTTTACAGCCGGGGAGGGGAAGGAGCAGGAGTGATGGGGAACAGAGTGGGGCAAAAGAAACCCCCCATTCTCCCCTCACCCGTTTTAGGTCCCAAACGCAGGCTGCTTCCCTCCCCCCATTCAATTTATGGGGCTGTGGCAACCTAACAGAGGTTCGGAATGGGAATGGGAGTGAATGTCTGGTGCATGTGTGCGGCTGGGTGGCGTTCAGCATCCTAGAAAGGGGGATTCCAAGTGCGGATAAGAAAAGGGGGATGCTGGAAAGGTCTGATAAGCCGTGGGGTGAGGGTGGGGGTGCGGATCTCCCTGCGCGTGCACGTACGCATTTGCACGCGCGCTCTTCCTTCGGTGCGGGTGCACCCTTCCCACCTCCTCAGGCATGCGCTGGGGGGCATGCGTGAGAGGAGGGGCTGTGTGGCGCGTAGTGGGCCCTCCCCTGCCCCACGCCGGGCCCTTCCTCCGTGGCTCGTGTCTCCACCCGAGTCGGGCAATAAGATCTCTCTTTTTCTCGCAGGGACTGGCTTCGCCCCTGAGCCCCCCGGCCCCCGCCAGCCACCACCCCCGCGCCCTTAGCCATCCTCGGCAGGTCTCAGCCCCGGCTCGTCGCTGCCTCCGCCCCCGCCCCAGCCATGCTGCACACGGAGGGCCACGCTCTTCTCCGGGCCGTGGGGCAGGGTAAGCTCCGCTTGGCCCGTTTGCTTCTGGAGGGGGGTGCCTACGTGAACGAGGGCGATGCCCAGGGGGAGACGGCACTAATGGCAGCCTGCCGAGCCCGCTACGACGACCCCCAGAACAAGGCGCGGATGGTCCGCTACCTCCTGGAGCAAGGCGCGGACCCCAACATCGCGGACCGCCTGGGGCGCACCGCACTCATGCACGCCTGCGCCGGGGGTGGGGGCGCGGCCGTGGCCTCGCTGCTCCTCGCGCACGGCGCAGACCCCTCGGTTCGCGATCACGCGGGCGCCTCGGCGCTGGTACACGCCCTAGATCGCGGGGACCGCGAGACCCTGGCCACCCTGCTGGACGCCTGTAAGGCCAAGGGCACCGAGGTCATCATCATCACCACCGACACCTCGCCCTCGGGCACCAAGAAGACCAGGCAGTATCTCAACTCCCCGCCGTCCCCGGGGGTGGAGGACCCCGCGCCCGTTCCGCCCAGCCCGGGCGTCTGCACGTCGCCTTCGGAAATCCAACTCCAGACTGCGGGAGGAGGAGGAAAGGGGCTGCTATCCCCTCGCGCCCAGGAGGAAGAGGAGAAGAGGGACGTGTTTGAATTCCCTCTCCCTAAGCCCCCCGACGACCCTTCCCCTTCCGAGCCGCTCCCCAAGCCACCCCGCCACCCCCCGAAACCACTCAAGCGGCTCAACTCCGAACCCTGGGGCCTGGTCGCGCCTCCTCAGCCGCTCGCGCCCGCGGAAGGGAGGCTGGGGATGGAGCGCCTGACCGCCGACTTCAACGGCCTGACTCTGAGCGGCAGGCCGCGGCTCTCCCGCCGCCACAGCACGGAGGGCCCCGAGGACCCGCCCCCGTGGGCGGAGAGAGTGGCGGGCGGGGGTCCGCTGTCGCGCCGCAACACCGCGCCCGAAGCGCAGGAGCCCGGGCCGCCCTCGGGGCTGAGGCAGAAACTGAGCCGCATGGAGCCGGTGGAGCTCGACGGCCCCGGCACGCTCTGCCCCGACTCGCCCGAGTGCAGCCGCCTGGCCCTGGAGCGCCGCCGCTACAGCGCCTCCCCGCTGACCCTCCCTCCCGCCGGCTCCGTCTCCTCCCCGCGCCAATCCCAGGAGAGCCTGCCCGGGGCCGTGTCCCCGCTGAGCGGGCGGAGGCGGAGTCCCGGGCTGCTGGAGCGGCGGGGCTCGGGGACGCTGCTCCTGGACCACATCTCGCAGACGCGGCCCGGCTTCCTGCCCCCGCTCAACGTCAGCCCCCACCCGCCTATCCCCGACATTCGCCCCCAGGCCGGGGGTCGGGCGCCGTCCCTGCCCGCCCCCCCGCAGGCCGGGGCCCCGGCCTCGCCCAGGACCAAGCGCAAGTTGGTGAGACGCCACTCCATGCAGACTGAGCAGATCCGCCTGCTGGGGGGCTTCCAGAGTCTAGGCGGGCCCGGGGAGCCGGGCCGCTGAGAGGGCCGGCTGCCCAGGCGGCGGGGGCAGGCGGGGCAGCAGTTCACACCCACACCGTGGACGCAGCGCTCTCTTGCATGTGCTGTGGGCTTGCTGCACACAGCGGGGAAGTGTCCACAAGCACAGTACTCTCTCGCGCAGGGAAGGGTAAGTGCTCGCTGGGCAGAGGTGCAGGGCAGTCATGCCCTGGTCCCTTCACCTGCCTACGGGAACTACCTGTGCACCCCGGAGCAGGGCACACACAGGGCCACTTGTGCTAGGGCCCCAACGGGTTCCAGAATCACTTGCATTTGTTCAGCTGCAGTGGGGACCCCTACCTGTGGGCAGTCCCCAATCTCAGTCCTGCAGGTGAACCTCCTTGCTTTCTACTTGTGCCCTGCAACACAGCCCTCTCATGAGTTTGCACACGGCCCTTTTCGTGAGTATTCCACGCACCTCTGCAGGTCTTGCTTTGCTCTCCAGGCCTGGCCCGTGTTCACACCCTGCTTCCAGCCCTAACCACTTTTCAGGCTCTCTTCACTGTTCATGGGGGTTTCTTGCCGCAAACCCCGGCCTCAGTTCTGCAGCTTACCTTCCTGCTCTCGGCTTTCCTTCCCAACTCCTTGCTTCTTATTCCCACCCTGTTCCCTCAATACACCAGGTTGTCTCATTTTCCCAGTGGGTGGGTCATGGGCTCTAAAGCTGCTATTCTGTCTGAGCTTATGAACACCCCCACAGGTAGAAGTGGGGATTGACCCTAAATCACTCTTCTCTCCACCTGACGTCAAATAAATGTGTTCAGAAATCTCTGTTTTTTCACTTCTGCCTGGGAGTGTGGGCAATGAGGAATGGAGAGAGAGGGTCACGCTCACTACAGCTATAATGACCTCGGGGACACTTAGGGACTTTCTTCCACCGGCCACTTTCTTCCCAGGAGACCGAGAGAGCAAGTATCCTGTGTCCTGAAGCTTTTATAAGGCCTTTAATGTCTCCTAGGCTCCCCTGTGTCCATCCTCAAATTCTTTAAGATCCTACAGAGATGTCCACCACCAGCAGCAGATATAGCCCAGTAGATTAACTGTCCCTTCTTCAAACCATTCACAGCTGTTCCTTGAAGGGGGGTGGGGTGCCTAACTTTCATCACATGAATTTAGTTTTCCTCCAGTTTGGACTGTTTCATCATGTTTGATCTCTGAGCCACTGCAGATTGGACAGAAAGATTAGGGGAGAGAAGGAGAGAGAGACCTAACTGACCCATGAACAAGGGTATCTGTCTTAATCTGGCCCCTGAACTCTAAGTTACCTGATTTCTGCTTATATTCCAATCTTTACTCTAATGGGAGGCAGAGGGAGCAGCCCTCCACTCTTACTCCCATCCCCCCAATTTAGTAAAGGTGAAATCAGAAAATTTCCCAACAGTGTGGTCAAATGAAAAAATCAAAATATGGCTGCACCCTCCCCCACCCTTTCGCTCTCCCGCCGTTTGTTCTGGGCGACCTAGCGAGTCCTTCTTGTAATAAAGCCCAGCGAGTGGCTGCGACTGTTGAGCAAGGCAGCGCGCTGCATGGTTTTTGACACCCGCTGTGTGTGCTCACTAAATGTCACTGCCCTCGGTGCGTTAGCCCCACCCCAACAGCCTGTGACCTCGGGCACTCGCATCACTTCTGAGGCAGGTTCCTCACCTACATCTAGAAAAAGAAGTGGCGGAACGAACAGTGCCCAAGCGTCCTCCGTTGTCTGCAAGTCTCCCTAGACTTGCCCACGGGCCGCCTCCCGGCGCCGGGTCCGGCAGGCTCCCTAGTACTCGCCACCGACACCCCCGGCGCGCCGCCGATCTGCTCGCTTACCCCAGACCTCGCTGTTTTCTTTGCAATTGGTCGCTCAGCACCGCCTCC